AAAAGCAAAGAGTAAGTTCTTGAAGATTTTATATAATTAAAACTCGCTATTTACTTGTCTTGCTAAAAATTGAGAGAGAATTCTCATATGGAAATATCATAAATGATTTAGTTTGGCTGATACCAGTTTTGTTGTGTTGTGTTATATTGTGCTTTGAGTGGTAGGAGAGAAAAATTCTTCCCTTCGCTTCAAAATTTTGCAGAACCACTTCAAACAATGTTGTAGTCCCTATGAAATTTTATCCTGAAATAAACTGCAGAATCCATCCAAAAAAAGGAAAAGCACATGATCCACAGAAACACAAAACCAACAATCACAACTAACAATTTAATACACATTCAGTATTATCTAATAAAACTCCACTTCAAATTTCACTAAATGTCTAGACAATGGCTTTTTTCTGTGTGACCCAAGAACAAAGTTTACACTATGTATTCAGCTTTGTTTCACTGTCATTTTTAATCCTATACAACATTTACACTGTCCATGTTTTACTGTGATTACTACTTATGATGTTGACATTTAACAACTTTCCAACAGTCTGTCCGATAAACTGTCACACATTTTGGATTTGTCTTATTGATCCAACTTAGATTCAGACTAAATACTGTGACACAAAAGGACACAGATGATGTTGTGTTATGTCTTGCCACACATTATATCAGGAGGCAAATGAGGTCATGTTTGCCTCTGATGATGATGATGCCACTGTGGACGGCTCAGTGGACGCAGAAATGATCCGTTCTCCCCATTCACAAAGGTGTTGTGTGGTTATAAACAGTAAATAATACAGGGTGAGGGGTTCCATTCATTTATCCACATTTGTCACTTATATGTAACTCAATTTCTGGAACAACATCTTAAGACACTAAAAAACCTGCCTTTTCGGGCCCGGCGCAGTGGCGCAAGTGGTTAAAGGTCCTCGCCTTGCACGCCCGGGATCCCATATGGGCGCTGGTTCTAATCCCGGCAGCCCCACTTCCCTTCCAGCTCCCTGCCTGTGGCCTGGGAAAGCAGTCGAGGACAGCCCAAAGCTTTGGGAACCTGCACCCACGCGGGAGACCCGGAAGAGGCTCCTGGCTTCGGATCGGCATAGTATCGGCCGTTGCGCTCACTTGGGGAGTGAATCATCGGACGGAAGATCTTCCTCTCTGTCTCTCCTCTCTGTATATCCGCCTTTCCAATGAAAAAATAATAAAAATAAATCTTTAAAAAAAAAAAAAAAACCTGCCTTTTCTTCTCCTCCATTGCTCCCCAGTTGCACCAAATTCTTGTTATATTAACTATTACATGAGAGGATTCCAGGCAGCTGACTTTCTAATTACATCATGCTTTTATATTTGTTCTCTGGAACCCTGCACCTACACCTTTCCTTTGAGCAACACAGGGTACTTTCTTAATACAATCTATTATGCTTACCAATTTTTAAGTTCAACTTATTCCAATTTTGGCCTGTCATAATCCCTTTGATGTGTCTCCACCAGTCTTTGAGAACCTACTTATTGCACAAGATATTCCCAAGCTCACCTACTCATCCCTGCAATCTCTAAGTAGCCCTTTCTGCTTTCAGTGGGGGAATGGCATTCAAGACACCATTATGCCACTCTTTTTTTGGTCTGCAGTGTAAGTGAAAACTATACCTGGTCTCTAATTCCTGGTAGGCAGCTTCAAACACCTTACTGTGGAGAGCTCCCTGACCCACAGGGAAAGACTTTCACACCATACGTGTCCTTTTCCGTGTCCTTTTTTTCTTCTTCCTCTAATCCACACAAGCTTCACAATATATATACACTTCGCGACCCAATCAACGTAAAGGTCAATCCAGCACGCACAGAGCGCACCAATCATAATACAGATCACGTGCCATGCACGTGGTGAGCATGCGCTAGGGACCAATCAGAATGAAGTTCCTGGTTCTGCTAGGCTGCTCCTTGTGACCCTGGCACACAGCCAAGGCGCCATCTCTAGGGCTGGGCAGTCAAAGCTCCCAACAGCTACCCCCTTTTGTTTTATTAACAAGGGACCGTGCCTGTCTTAGGTGCTCCGGAGTAGAGCCCTTCTTACCCGTCATGGGCTAACCATGTGGCCGTAGACATGGCGCCTGTCTTAGGTCGATAGGACTCGTACCAGATGCTTACCCATCATTGCCTACTGGTCCAGCATGTTCAGCCATATCTCAGGGAAGTCTTTCCGGTGCAAGGCCAGAACTGCCTGCATCAGCAGTTGCTGTTGGTGTTGCTGCTGCTGAGAGCGCCTATAAAGGGTGCACCCTGCCTCGGCCACTACGAGGAGAAGTAAGATCACAAGACCAACCATGCCTGTCCATTGTTTGGCAAAGGACAGGCCCTGCAGAACCCAGTGGGCCCACTGCGCCACTGATGTCACTTCGATTTGGGTGTTATTAAGGGTGTCTGGTGAGATTTATCAAAGCATACTGACCAAGAACCATTGGGCGCTAACATACCAGCAAACTCTCGAGCCATATTACAGGTATTTGAAAACTTACAAGCCCTAACAGGGGTAACACACAGTCCCGGTATATTCAATACACAAGTTATTCCAAGCATACCAAGCAACTCGTGTGGTTTCCTGCAAGTACTGGCCAACGTCCAGAACCCTACTGTCCCCACGGGCAGGGCTTGCTTCTCACCCGCCCTTTTCAGATCTCTGCCTAAATGGTCCCATTGTGGCAGGGTCAAAAGGCCTTCCTCCAGAAACCAAGGGGAGACTTCCCCTACAGTTTTAAGGAAGGACACCACAGTCTTGGCTTTTACTGGGGTCCCATTTCTTTTTAAGAGTTCATGTAAAACTCTCTGCATATGCACTGTGGAAGACAGATTCCCACTGCTTTCATTTTTGAGTTGCTACACCGTGAATCTAAAACTTGTCATTGTTCCCTCAACCTCCCATGAACGTCCTGCTTCAGTGGCTACCTGAGCTAGTAGCTCAGCTTTTTACCTTGTAGCTATGTTATTTGGACCCGAGTCACGGCACCAGCTGTGGAGAGCTCCCTGACCCACAGGGAAAGACTCTCACACCATATGTGTCCTTTTCTGTGGTACTTTATTCTTCTTCCTCTAATCCACACAAGCTTCACAATATATATACACTTCGCGACCCAATCGGCATAAAGGTCAATCCAGCACACACAGAGCGCACCAATCATAATACAGATAACGTGCCATGCACATGATGAGCATGTGCTAGACCCATCAGGATGAAGTTCCTGGTTCTGCTAGGCTCCTCCTCGTGACCCTGGCACATAGCCAGGCACCACCTTTAGGGCTGGGCAGCCAAAGCTCCCAACACCTCACAATTTTCCAACTGAGTATCTTTATTACTCTTACAATCTTTGCCATTGAATATGTATCTGTGTTCTGCAAATGAGATGACTTCTGGTGGCCCCTAGATGAATTTAGGAGGGGACTGACCACATGAAAGACAGACAACAGGATGGCAAAGTTGAGATTTTAGACCTGTTTGACCTCCAGGAGGGAAGGCTGGCTGGAGATGGAGCCAACAATGACTTAATCAACTGTGCCTGCAGGAGGAAGCTCCCAGTAACTACGTGGACTCCAGAGCTCAAAGGCGCCTCCTGTTGAGAAGCACACTGATGCTGGCCAGGGGCGGGATCAAGGGCAGAGGACAATGTGTCCATATCCAAGGGAGAGAGCACACAAAAGCTCAGTCTCTTCCTTATCCCCACACCCCAGTCCTTGCCCATCTCCTCCATGTGACAGTTCCTAATCTGTAGGCTCTATAATAAAACTGCAATATAATTACTTTGCCTTCAGTGAACTCACTGAACAGCACATCAGCCAACCTGGGCAGGAGGGGGTGAAGGAATCCTCAAATCTACAGCTGATTGCTCAGCAGTACAAGTGGACCTTCACATATGCAGCTGGCACCTAACATGAAGGTATTCTTGTCAAGTAGGACTTTGCCATCAACTTGGAGAATCTGACATTAACTCCAGATAATTCATACCAAAATCAAACCAACAAACTAGACTCCCAGCTGGTGTCACACAATATTAGCACGTGCAGTCTTCTAGGTATGTGGAAATCACATCTCATCACTTAGCAACAGACCACCGCTACCACAGCAATCCCCAGTGGAGCTGGAAAACTAGCTCCTAGTTACAGTACATCTGTCACCACAGCAACACATCACACCAGGGTTTGTAGTGATGCTAACAGAAACAAACCTACTACACTGCTAGTCATATAACAATACAGCACATATACTATTATATGCAATGCCTAATACTTGAGAATGATAATAAAAAACTCTACTAATGGCTTATCTCCTCATTATACAATGCTTCTACCCTCATTTTAAAGTATATTCCTTTACACTCGCGTTTTAAGAAGAAGAGTTCACTGTCAAACAGCATGCTATGCTACAGCAGCCTCTACTGAGTGTGTGATCTCCCTCTGATTTTCTGCCATGTTGAGAGGGGAGACGCATCTGTCAGTGTGGTTTTCATTTGCATTTCCCTCGTTGAGAGTGAGGGTGAACAACTTCTCGTGTTTAAATCTATTCAGAGAGTTTTTTGCCTATTTATAATTTAACAATTCTGTAGAGAATTACTACTAAATTTGTGGTCTCTTTCAAGTTTTGAAAGATTTCTAGATAGGAGAAGCATGATCCCCTTTGTATGACACACGAGATGAATACCATCTCCCTATCATTTGTCCATGATTGGCTTATAACCATGAAGACTCACCCCTAACTCTGACATCTCCCCCTCTCCTCAGTCCTTAACCTCAACCCTCCTCTGACCTCCTACAAACACATTTCCACAGAGTTGAAAGGGAAGACTTTTACAAGTTCATGTAATGTGGCAAAAAACATAAAATTCTTAGAGGACAACTAGAGAACTGAAATTCTCCTCTGCTGAACTCAGAAGGGTTGAGCAACACCAACATAGCAACACAAAATACTAAATGTTAACCAAATGCAGGATCCAAGCTGAGTATTGAGGACAATAATGGTACCTTTTCTTTCTTCACGCGATCCATGATATTGCCAAGATCCTCAACATCAACAACAGAACTGAAACCTGGATGCTCCTCAGGACCAAACTCTTCCTCACTGCTGCTCTCACAGGGCTCTTCCTCCTGAAAGAGAAAGGATCAGAAAACGCGGTGCTCCAAGCAGTCAAGGCAATGTTCCCTCAAACTCCCTCCCATATGGAAGTCACGCTTAAATTCTTAATGAAAAAAAGAATACTTAAATACCTGTGCTGTGTGTATATACTAGGTCTTTGTCATGACAATAGTCACGGTAAAAAGGCATCAAAGATTAGGACAATCAACACATCAGTGGCTCTTCCCTGTGCAAGTGTCTTGTCAGGGCACGGGGAACAAGACAAGTGCAGGACAGATAGAGAAGCAAAGGCTGGCACTGGAGAAGCAAAGGCTGGCACTGGAGAAGCTTGGTTATGTGGGACCCACCACACTGGCATCCCAGAGTGGGACCAGTTCATGTTTACGCTGCTCCACTTCTGACCCAGCTCCCTGCAAATAGTTCTGAGCAAACAGTGAAGGATGTTCCAAGTGCTTGGACCCTGTCACATACATGGCCACCCAGAGGAAGCTCCTGGCTCTTGCCTTCAGCCTGGCTCAGTCCTGCCCGTTGCAACCACCTTGGGAGTGAAAGAAAGGATGGAACAGTTCCTTTACTTTGTCTCTATTTCTCTTTGTCATTCATTCTAGTTCTCTCATTGGCTCTGAATTTTTTTTTTTTTAAAGATTTATTTTTATTATTTTCTCATTGGAAAGGCAGATATACAGAGAGGAGAGACAGAGAGGAAGATCTTCCATCCGATGATTCACTCCCCAAGTGAGCGCAACGGCAGATGCTATGCTGATCCAAAGCCAGGAGCCTCTTCCGGGTCTCCCACACGGGTGCAGGGTCCCAAAGCCTTGGGCCATGCTCGACTGCTTTCCCGGGCCACAGGCAGGGAGCTGGAAAGGAAGCGGGGCTGCCAGGATTAGAACCAGCGCCCATATGGGATCCCGGGCGTGCAAGGTGAGGACCTTAACCACTTGCGCCACTGCGCCGGGCCCTGGCTCTGAATTTTAAATAATTTTTTTTTAAAAATTCTTTATTCCAAAGTAAGTAGAGGAAATATTAATTTCATCCTGAGTATCTACTACATGCCTGGCACACAGTGCTCTTTGTATATTCACCTAGTGAACCTTAAACTACTTAGGATATACATGTTTGTAGCAGCATGCTGTAAAATAGTATATTGAAGAAGAGAGAAAGAAGTTGCAAAAGCTACAAAGTGGCAGATACAGACACTGTTTTCACCCTTTATTCCCATGAGATGCTAAGGCAGAAGGGAAGGATGAATGGATGGTTAAGAAGTGGAGAATTGCTTGTTTTCAGTAGGGGGCAGTAGCTGAGTAACTCGAGGATAACTGTAATAACCTCTGTATGCTGGCCCACATATTCCAAAACGTAGTAGACAGGTGGAACTCTCTCAGGTGATGCTCTGCTTAAGCACGTGTGTCTCCAAGCCTGCTCTCTGAAACACACTTTTTAACAATCAGTCAACTTATTAGGCCCAATGCTTCCCAACCAACCAACGTGTCTAAATGTACAAGTAAGGTCTGGGTTGTAACATAGTAGGTTAAGCCACCATCAATAACACAGGCATTTGCGTGCTGGCTCGGGTCCCACCGCTCCACTCTGGATCCAGTTCCCAACTGGATAGCACTTCAGGAGGCAGCAGAAATGGCCCCTGCATCTGTGTGGGAAACCCAAATGGAGCGCCTGGTTCCTGGCTCCTGCCTGGCCCAGCCGTGGCTGCTGAAGCCATTTGTGGAGTAAACCAGTGAATGGAAGATCTTTCTGCTCTCCATCTCTCCCTATAACTCTGCCCTTCGAATAAAGAAAGAAAATCACTAACGCACTCTGAATTGCAGTAAAACATCAGCATTACTCAGAGTCCTGTGCTCCTGCTTCCTTACTGCCAATAAATTACACAAGTTCAGACACAGGAGAGACAGCAGGGGTCACAGGGAACCATCTCCAGAGAGTCACATAATGCGTTCTCTAAAGGACCAAATGGTAAATATTTCTGACTTTTCCTTAACTAGAGCTACACGGAAAGTGAGCCAGTGGATGGAAGAGCTCTCTCCTACTCTATCTATACTTCGACCTGTCAAATAAAAAATTATAAAAAATTTCAAAAGCATTGTATGCATAAATGAAAAAAGCTAATCCTTGCATTCCTATGAATTACAAGGAATTCCAAACAGCCACAAATATACACATGCATATTGTGGAGCCAGGTCATGTGTGCAATAACAGATAAACAAGACTTTGTAGAAAACTGAAACTTTAGTCCTTGAACAAAGGACCTGATTAAGAAAGTGAAAAGAAAATCCACAAAATGGGGAAAAAAATGCCAATTCTAGATCTGATAGTGTAATTATCAAGAACACATGAGGAACCCTTACCACACATTACTAAAGAATGTACAAAGGGTTGCAATGAACTTTTCTCAAGGAACGCACTCAAATGCACAGGTAAAGATGCTTTGTTGTAATCTTTAGGAAAACACAAACCCACAATTGGACAGCACTTTCCACTCACCAGCACAGCCACCATTTCAAGGAGAAAGAAAGAAAGACTGGGTGGGAATATGGAAAAATTAGAACCCTAATGCATTGGTACTAGGAACGTAAAATGGTACATCTGCTGCAGTAAACAGTCCAGCAGTTCCTTAAACAAACTTTGTCAAGTGAAACATACAACTACCATATGCAGCAACTCCAATCCTCAGAGCAAACCCAAAGAACTGAGAAGGGCATGCAAATACATCCTTGTACACAAGTGTTCATAGTAGCTCTATTTATCACAACTAAAAGGTAGAAACAACAAAAATGCCTGGATCAATCAGATTTGGTACATACGAATACTGGAATATTACAGCCAAAAAACAGAAGGCTGTGGTGTGGTGCAGCTGGATAAGGCACAACCTCTGACATCATCATTCCATACTGATGCTGGTTAGAGTCCTGGCTGCTCCACCTCTGGTCCAGTTCCCTGCTAATGCTCTTCAGAAGGCAGTGGAAAGTGGCCCTAACTGCTTGGACACTGTCACCCTGTCACCCACAGGAAAGACCAGAAGGGAGTTCAAGCCTCTTGGCTTCAGCCTGCCCTAACTCTGGCCAGTGCAATCACCTGTGGATCTCTCTGTCTGTTCTCTACATAACTGTGCCTTTCAAAATATTGGATATTAAAAAAGAGAATGAAGAGATACACATGGTAAGCCTCACAGACTTGATCTTGCTAAGTAAAAGAAGCCAAACACCAGGTCATATATCACATGAGTACAAAACCTGCCGAAATACAGAAATCCATCAAAACAAAGCAAATCCGAGGGGAGAGAACTGGAGAGACTGCATGTTTTGAGATAATAAAAAGGACATAAAACTTCATGTGGCAGGTACACCAAACTGTGCATACAGTCACCTGACTGCAGAGTAAAATGGATAACAGTAGGGGCTGACACGGCAGTCTTTGCGTCAGGAGTACCAGTTTGAGTCCTGGATATTCCACCTCCAATCCAGCTCCCTGCTGATGCAATGAAGGAGAATATGATCCAGGAATATGATTCCTGAACCCACGCAGGAACCCACGTGGAGCTCCTGGCTGCTGGCTTCAGCCTGGCCCTGCTCTGGTTACTGTGGCCATTCTGAGAATGAATCAGTGGATGGGGGATTTAGGTCTCTATCTACCTGCCTGCTTCTCTCCCTCTGCCTTGCTGCCTTTCAGATAGCTTATGACCTGGAAAGCAGCAGCGGCTGGCTCAAGTCCTGGACATACATCCTTGCTCCCAGCTTCAAATCAGCTCAAGCCTGCCATTGTGGCCATACGAGGAGTGAACCCATGGATAACAGATATCTCTCAATGTTTCTCTAATTCGCCATCTCTATAAATTTGCCTTTCAAATAAAGTCAAATTGATAAACACATAAATAAACACAGGTGGCTGTGTATATGTCTATGCATCCATGACATTAAGCTAGTACACAGGAAGAGGTTAAGGACATAGCAGAGAAAGGGAAATGTGATCAATAAAGGACACAAGTCCTTGATCACAGGGCATGGATGCCCATCAGTCTTGAATAGGAACCTGATGCTTGGTCTTCTGAAATAGGATAGATGATGAAGAGTAGAGATGGGGCATGGGACTCTGAGAGAGTTCTACTCTGACAGCTTCAGATGAATGCTAAGTGAAGGGTGGGAGAAAAGGATATGAAACAGTCATGCTGAAGAGTGAGGAAGGGAATGCCGTGAGATGTGTAAGCAGCTCTGTGAGCACATCTGAGCTGTCATGAACTCGTAGTCAGACAGTAAGCAGCACTGGGGGAAAGGCAGACCACAGTTGTCGCTCTGCCTGGTGTTTGGTCACTAGGATTAGAAAAGTGAGCAAAATGGGCTGCTGCCATGGTGTAGTGAGCTAAGCCTCTGTCTGCAGCACTGGTACACCTTATGGGTGGAGGTTTAAGTCCCAGCTGTTCCACTTCTGATCTAACTTCCTGCTAATGCGCCTGGGAAAGCAGCAGAGGAGGGACCAAGTCCTTGGGCCTCTGCAGCCACATGGGAGACACAGAAGAAGCTCTTGGCTTTGGATCAGCTCAGCTCCAGGCACTGCAGCCATTTGGGGTGTGAACCAGCAGATGGAAGCTCACTCTAACTCTCCTTTTCTCAGTAACCCTACCTTCCAAATTTTTAAATAAATCAATAAATAAGAAAGAAAGAGAGAAAGAAAGAAAAGTAAGAGGCAAGGCAACTGAGGATGGCTATAGAGTTGAGCATAAAAACGTCTAACCTGGAAGCTCCATGAGCAGTTTCCACTACCTAAAGAAAACCACGTGTGATCAAATGGGATCAGAAGACTCTTCCAGTAAGGGCCTTGGAGTGGATCACACTAAGCCACACAGGGACTTGACTTTCAGAGGTCATCATGGATGGGAGAGACCGAGGTCAACAAAGAAAATGACAGAGGCGTGAAGGCTAGGAAGCTGTGCAGCCACAGTGCTGGACAGTCCGTCTCCATGGACGTCTCAGCCACCAAGAATAACAGGAAGAAACACCACAGGTCAGAACAGGAACTTGCTCCCGAATGACACAGTGACAGTCAGGTGGCCAAAAGAAGACAGCTGTGAGGACAGTGCAGCAGTAACAGAGTGGCTGAAGCCATGAGCTGCAACGGAACTGAACTGGTGTACATGAAGGAGAAAAGGGGCAATGTTAACTCCAGGGAAGGAAGAAAGGACTTGCAGCCTGAGGTTGGAGTGCCATTGGTGGCCATTTGGGTAAACAGGGAGCTTGATCTGGGACACTGATTCCCGGGGTCAAATCTGCAACCTGTGGTAAAATACCCTGATTCGAAATAAAGTAACAACTATAAGATGAGGGAGAGCATCCAGCACACTGTGGCTTATCTCATAAAGCCCACCAGCCTCCCTGAACCCCACCCCAGGAGGGTCAGGCCTTCCTCCTAACCAGCATCCACTGAAACAGCTTCTTGGGGCAGAGGTCAAGTTCAGCTCTGCAGACGCAGGAAAAGACGCAGGTCACATACCTCGGTGTCTCTGTGACGCATGTCATCCTGAGTGCTGGACCCAGGCTCTGATTCCAGCGAGCCATGCTGTGTGGATTTGCATTTGCCTTTCTTGCAGTTGCCGCCACAGGACTTCTTGTCTCCCTTACGAAGCGCACGCAGCCGGGAGATGAACTTGGTCTTCCATGCTCGGAAGTCGGCTTCGATGCTGCCATGTTTGCTTTGAGCCACACTGCAGTCACCGTCTCCTCGAGACAGCACACGATGCGCGCCGAGCATCCAGAGCCACCGATCAACATTCTTGCCGACCTGTGAGCAAGGAGGAACAAGAGCTCAACACCTGATCCCTCCATCAGGTTGTCAGACAGTTCTGCAGGAGCCAAGGCTGTCCTGCGCCCTGGGCAGGAGCTGCTGCCCCACAAGCAGGAATTAGGAAAAAGGCTTCAAACCCTCACACCCTGGTCTCAACCAAAGGTCTGTATATGATACATTCTGATATTCTGCATAACATTTCTTTAAACAAGAGCACATGCCAACGCTTTCATTAAAATAATGATTAAGGATGCTAATTCCAGGACAGGTGTGATGTGGCTTAGTGGCTAAATACTTGCCTTGCATGTGCTGGGATCCCATATGGGTGCCAGTTCATGTCCCAGCTGCTCCACTTCCCATCCTGCTCTCTGCCTGTGGCCTGGTCTCAGTGGAAGTCAGCCCAAAGCCCTGATACCCTGCACCCACGTGGGAGACCTGGAGGTGGCTCCTGGCTCCTGGCTTCAGATCAGCTCAGCTCTGGCCACTGTGGCCGCTTGGGGAGCTACTCAACGGATGGAGGGTCTTCTTTTATGTCTCTCCTTTTATGCAATAAAAGTAAATAAAAGTATGCAATAAAAATAAATAAATCTTAAGTGTGTGTATATACATACATATATATGTAAATACGGCCCAGTGTGGCAGCCTAGTGGCTAAAGACCTCACCTTGTTTGTGCCAGGATCCAATATGGGCATCAGTTTATATCCTGGCAGCTCCACTTAGCTTCCAGTTCCCTGCTGTCACATGGGAAAGCAGCAGAAAACAGCCCAAAGTCTTCAGACCCTCCAGCCACATGGGAGACCCAGAGAAGCTCCCGGCTTCAAATTGGCTCAGCTCCATTGTGGCACTTGGGGAGTGAACCAGTGAATGGAACAATGCTCTCTCTCTCTCTTCCTCTCCTCTGTAAATCTGACATTCCAAGAGAAATAAATAGATCTTTAAAAAAAAAATAAATATATATATATATATATAAACAAATAAATCTTAGAGAGAGAGAGAACAAATTAGTGTGCTAATTCACTCAAAATGCCTGCAAAATTTCCCATGAGGCAGACATGGCCCAAGCATCTAGCCTTCTTCTGTTGTCCTCCTAGCACTCTAGCCGCGAGCAAAAGGGGTACAAACTGGTGCTTCACTGGTGCTTGCAAGTGTTGTTAGCAGAGGTCTAACTTGCTGCATGACACCTATGGTCACAAGAAGCTGTTGTGATGCAAAATAATTTTGAATTCCATATAAAGCTATTTCATGATATGCAATTTCAATAATCTTGAAGACCCTGTTATGCATTAGGTTCAGAAGTTTGTATCATTTTAACTTATCTGTAAATTCTACCTTGCACAACTTTTCTCTTTTAAAAGTTTGCTTTCCTACTTCATCGTATATGAGAGACAGAGTGAAAGAGGGATATCTTCCACTCACTGATACACCCTCTAAATGGTCCCACCAGCCAGGGCTGGCCAGGCCTGGAGCCAAGGCCAGAGCTCAGGAACAGGAACCCAAGTACTTGAGCAGTATCCCTGCCTGCATGTGAGCCAAGAAGCTAGATAACAGGTGGAGGAGCAAGAAACCAAATCTCACACTCACACACAAGATGATGGTCACCCCCAAGACGATTCTGAAAGCCATTGCACCAAACACCTACCACCATTTTCCACAAACTTCCTCATGTGTTCTCATGTGCATGGCAACTTACAACTATAAAGAAAGAGTAACACCAGAAATTCATCATTCAGGGCCAGTTTGTAGATGACTTCACTTACGTGTGTGTATGAGGTTTGTGTTTATTTATTCAAAACAGAATGTAACCCTGTAATTCAACACACACATACCTTGTTGAAGTGGTTCGAATAGGCAGAATTCCCCAGGCCGAACACTGCGTATCTCATACCCTTTAGGTAAGTTCTGCCAAATCGGAAGTCACTGGTAGCTTCCTCTAACCACTTGCAGAACCACTCTGCGCTCTCAGGCGGGTGGCCATCCGTGTATGTAGCAAGCAGGAAGGCACAGACGGTCTTACTGGTGACCTAGGCAAGAAGGGAACTGTCAGAACAGTCAAGCTATACACGACCTCACTGAGGAATATTCTTTCTCAGACTGCCAGCATTCATGTCATACTCATCTCTAAGGACAAAAGGCCTATTCCAAAAATCGTTCATTGCAGCGGTGAAAGAAAACGCAGCAAGGACACCTTGACTGGAGGAAACTCCTTTCTTATTATAGAACTCCAAATTTCAGAGCTCATTCTGCACACTGGGAACCAAAAATCCAAATCAGCAAAGAAAGCGAAACAAAAAAAACAGAAAGATCTCCTAGAAATTGCCTAAAACAACCAAACTTCTAAAAGTAAAGCAACTTAAACTTTCACACTATCAGAAAGAGATCTTCGAGCCCAGTGTGGCACTCTGGTGGCTAAAGTCCTCGTCTCACCCACACTGGGATTCCATATTGGGCTCCAGTTCTAATGCCAGCAGCCCAACTTCCCATCCAGCTCCCTGCTTGTGGCCTGGGAAAGCTGTCAGGAACAGCCCAAAGCCTTGGGATCCTGCACCCATGTGAGAGACTCAGAAGCAGCTTCTGGCTCCTGGCTTTGGATCTGTGCAGCACCAGCCATTGCGGTCACTTAGGGAGTGAATCATCAGACAGAAGATCTTCCTCTCTGTCTCTCCTCCTCTCTGTGTGTCTGATTTTGCAATAGAAATAAATCTAAAAAAAAGGAAGAAAGAAGAAGAAAAACAAAGAAATTGACTTTCTGTCCCACCTGAGGATTCCATCTGCCTGAAGGTATCTTAAGAATTCCAGGTAGGAGGTTGGTGAGAGCCAACTCACTTGGAATTAAGGATCACAGTTTGCTAATAATGTCTCAGAACTAATTCAGGCCAGAACCAAACTCACTCGTTTACACTGCAGTGTTTTCTTGGGGGAACAAATCAATGGACAGTCACACCTGGACATTTACCCAGTAAGAGAGGTCTGCAGACTACTGCTTTGTAGCCTATACTTGCCTGGTATTTAAGTTTCAGTGGACACAGCCATGTTCATTTACACACTGTGGCACAAAGTGCAAATGGACACACTAAGTCTTTGTGCCTTAACGGCTGAACTGAGTAGCATCAAGGCCCAGGAGCCGAAGGCACCTGCTACCCAAACCTTCGTGTGTATGTCTGTAGAACCCCTGCTCTGCTCCTCTGCCGTTAGCTGCATCAGAATCACCTGGAACACTTGCCAAAACCAAGCCCCACGTCACAGAACTTGTATTCTAACCAGGTCAGAGCACATGCTGACATCACTGCTGTAGGGCCCACGCTTTCAGCACTACCACTTTAAGGCAAGAATATCAACTGTGTTTGACAGGGGGCGGTGAAGGGCCATTTTCTGGGGTAAGGCAATAGACTCATAGACACTAAGTAATGTGTTGAGGTCACACAACTAGTAAGAGATTTCTCAACCTCAAACCCCACACTTCCTGCCCTTGACCTGCAGTCAGCTTACCCACGGCCACGTACACAACACACGGCCATCACTGATGATCCTCTCTCTTGACACTGACAGTCAAAGGGAGCAATGGGGGCCAGGGACTCCACACCACCCAACCTTTCGCAGGCATACCCCTGCCCCAGCACGCTCTAACCCATCAGAAGAATGGGCCTCACACCACCACACAGCACACATTCAACACTTCAAACTTACATGCAAAGATCAACACACTGCAATCACTCAATATGAAATCTCATGAATCTATTTAGCCAAGGAGACAGGAGGCCAATTACACGCGAGGATCTGGATTGAAGAACCAACAGGACCATTACTAACCTCTCCTATCAGGTGTTCATCTGGATCGTATTCTTTCAGATTAATAACTTCCACGGGCAGGTCTAGGGAGCTAACGGCTTCAGCTAGATCTGTTGCAAATCCCTAAGAGGAAAAACAGAAATAAAGTCTTAGACAAGACAAATAAGCAAACTGTAGCCTTCATCATTTACCGCATTAGCCACAGAGTGTGGCAATCGTCGTGAAGAACTTTCCCTGTGACTGATATTTATCACAGGAGCACAAAGCCTGTTCCCACTTTGGCTGCTTTCTCTAGTGTCATGAGGGACCCCATCATCCCGTCTGACCGTTCTCACTCCATAAGGGCTGTGTAGCACTCAGCCTGCATAGGGGTTTCCACCTTCCAGCTATTTACTCCTTCAGCATCAGCACACAGAAGCCCCAAGAGAAACAGTGATGAGTCCAAAGAAGGGGAAAAATACACAGGCACAGGTCGACACATATGAGGAAGCGCTAGGAGAGAGCTCTTATTCATACAGCAGATCGAAGTCAGAGAGTCACCGGGCTTGGAGTCAGCCAGCAGAACCCGAGGGAAGGGAACAAGTGGTCAGCAAGAACCCATTAGCTGATAGCTTGGATCTGGGCCAAAGGCACAGAGAAGGCTGCAGGGCCCAGGCAACGTTCATAGCTGACCCCCAGCAGAACACCAGCCGACTCCTCCCTACCAAATGAACAAATAAACAAATTTGGAGGGACAAGTTAAGACTTCTGCCCACATGTCAGAATCCAGGAAAACGCTGAGCTCTCTTACGCTTGCTGGTCCAACACCAGACTTGCTGCCTGCCAGGACATTGAGTCAAAATGAATGCATTCATTGGTTAGCAGCATCCAAGTCTCATTTCTGGGCTGGATGAGACAATAGTGAGCAAGACAAAGTCCCTGTTCTCAAGAAGTTTAAGTTTTAATGTATCACAATTATAGGGTATATCAGATGGTGATGAGTGCACTGGAGGCAAATTCCAACGAGAGCAATGGGTGCAGCTTTGGGCTGTTATTTCACACAGTAGAACCAGGAAAAGTACATGTACTAAAAAATAAATGTTTGGTCTTTGTCTCAGGCCCAAAACTCCAAAGGTTTCCTGGATTGTCTTTCACATGATAGCAATTGACTTTCTGGGGAAGAACCTTCTGTAACTCAAGGCTGGGGCAGAGCTGCCAGAAAAGCAAACCACATGCAGAGGCTCAATTCTGCTCCCTCCATCCCAGCCTCTGGAGATGGGAAAAGGGGATGGAGACTGTGCTTAATCATGGATAGCAGTGATTGAACTCAACATGTCAACAGTATGACGCCTCCAGGGAAAAGCTGGTTAATACACCGATGCACTAAGAAGAAGGAACAGAGGTTCTACACATCTGTCTATCCTATTCTTCCATCTGTTCTTGACGAGTGCCCTTTAAAATCAACAGATAAATATAAATTTCCGCAAATCTGTGAGATGATCCATCAAGTTATTGAACCCGAGGAAGAGAGGGCAAACTCCAAGCAGGGTTTTAACAACTTTCCCACAACTGCTGCGAGTGTGGACAGCCTGGTGCACGAAGCCCTTCAGCGTGTGCAGTCCGCCAGTGTCTCCCGGTAGTCAGCAGCAGAGCTGGAAATTGGGGGGTGGGAAAGGGTAAGCATTTGGGCTCAGAAATTGCAGTAGGGCTCAAAGACAAAAGAAGATTTTGGCCAAACCTGAAGGAAGCAAGGGAGCAAGGCAGGAGGCAGAGGGAACATTGAGTGCACAGCCATGAAATATGGGGCACACTCAGCCAGGAGGTTAACAGGACATGAGAAGGAGGACCAGGTAATGGGTGATGAGGGGAGCTAGCAGGGAGCCACGCGTGCAGGACCTCTTGGCCATCATGAGGACCTGGGCATTTCCTGAGTGCAGAGGGGCATCGTAGGGATGCAGGTGGCTGGGAACATGGGGATTTTATCTAAGCTAATGTCACTGAGGATGGTGAGCTGAGAGTATACAGGACTCAGTGGAGGCTGAGCAGAACTCAGCCGAGGAAACTGGTGGGAGCTGACCGCAGTAACCCAGACAAAGCACAACATTGGCTCAATGGTGAACACGTTGAGTGCAGGTTAGAATCTGCCTCTTTTCTGCAAGCGGAACAGGACCTGCTGACAGATTAGATGTACACTGTGAGTGAAACAGCAGTCAGGGATGAGTGCTGGGGCGGAGCAGGCTAACATCCTGCTCCCCACACCAGCTTCCCATATCAGACGGCCAGACTGAACACTGCCTGCTCTGCTTCTCATCCAGCTCCCTGCTAACACACCCAGGAAGCAGCAGTTCATGGCTCAGGCAGTTCAGCTCCTGCCACCCCGCCCCCCCCCACACACACACGGGAGACCCAGCTGGAACTCCTGGTTCCTGCCTGCACCCTGCCCCACCTCCAGTGGCCACCTGAACAGTGGACGGCCAAGGAAGATCTCTGCCAATCTCTCTTCTTCTCATCCTTCTTTCTCCCATATTCTCTTCCTTCTTTTCCTAATTTCCCTTCTCTCTTGTACTTCAATTTGCCATTCACATAAATAACACTTTATTTTAAAAAAGGAAAACAGGAGAAGTCAATGGTTTTTAAAGTAGACAAATGGGAGAATAAAGTTAAAACACATTGAAATGGTAAAGGCTGTTTAGGTAGCACAGGTTTGAACATATTGATTTTAAGATGCTTACTACATATTCTCATGAAAAAAAAAAAAAGGCAGGCAACCAAAAACGAAAAATCACATGAGTTCCAACTAGAAGCATAAAACCACGAATCAGCAAGAACACAGTGAGAACATACGGCAGGGAGAAAAAGAGAAAGCAAATGGATCAGAGACTGAAGCAGATATTCAAAAGGACACTCCTTAATTATGAACAATCTCAAAGAAAACATTCCGAAAAAGAGCTTTGAGATGGAAACCTAAGACTTCAGGATGAAAAGCATCAAAGGAAGATTTTTAGCTTTAGAAACTGCCCACAGGATCCACTCTTCAATGTAACACGGGTCTCAGGAAAAAGAGAGAGAGAGACAGAAAGAAAAAATGTATTCAAGAAATAGTATCAGAATTGACACATGCAAATCTTGAAAACAAAAGTGCCCAAGTATCCAGAACATGGCTGCGAACAGCCAAACCAGTTACCTGCAGCCGTAGAACCCTCCACAATAATACATAATGAATGGTCCCTGATTTTCTGTTTTGATAATTCATTTTCATGCCAGCCTTACTAAGAATCCTTTCCTAGAAACCACTGAATAGCTGTGACCACACAACTAAGAAGCTGGCAGTTCCTAGATGCCGCTACAGCGTGGAAAGCATCTTTTAGCTAGGTATTTGCATGTGTGTCTACTTGAACACTCTACTAACACAAGTCAAAGCTTAACTAAACAGAAGGTCAAGTTGTGAAAACCAGGGACACTGGGACTCTGCTGCTGCCAGGCTCTGCTCGCTATCCTCGACTACTACTCACACAGGAACTACTAAGGGCACTGTCTCCACCCTGTTGAAGCAGAAGAAAGAACAGAACAAAGAGGCTCACGTCAGTGACACCCTGGCACCAACAATCAGCAGTCACCGGACACAGAGGGGAAACTTGAGGCCTGCGGTGTGGCACAGCAGGTTAACGCTTCCCTGTTACAACATCCCAGGGTGGAATGCTCAGAGTCCCAGCTGCTCTGCTTCCATCCCAGCCCTGTTAACGTAAGAGTGGATGACTGACAAGTGCTTAGGCCTCAGCCATGCGTGTGGGACCCAGACGGAGTTGCAGGGTCCCGGATTAGGTGTGGCCCATCCCTGGCCACTGCGTCCATCTGGGGAGAAAACTAACAGATGACAGTCCTGTCACTCTTCCTTTCAAGTGAACAGGTAAATCAATCTTAAGAAAAGAAAGACAAAACTCACACGCCAGGAGGAAAAAAATGTGTGTAATGCAAAAAGGGCGAGACTAACGACTACAAGACTAATTCAGCTTGCTGCCTAGGCCTCAGGATTTTCTGCAAATGTCATGCCATCAGAGGACAAGGACCATCTGCTGCTCTTACCTTGGCCGTACCAGTCTGGGAACCATAGAAAATCTTCACTCCAGACACAAAGCTGTCCTTCCTCGGAAGGGAAACAGAACCATTGGTCAACAGTTCTGGGCTCGTTTTTGAAGTGGGTTTCACCTGTGAGTTCTGCGCCGTAAGGATGAAGAGTTACACACACTCAGAGTCTGAAAATTTGTCTCATACTTCACAAAAGATGAAAGCTAGCAGGTACCAATCCACTTTTTATCCTCTCCACCTTTCTGGTTGGACTTCTCAGGTATTAATCCCTCGGTGTCATTGTAACCATGTTTTTTAGAGGTAGGACCCAACTTTTTGTAACCACAGTCACTGCCATTCCCTCTAGGGCCAATGATCCAGTCATCCCTCAGTATGGACAGAGGACTAGTTCCTGACACACTGAGGCTACCAAAACCACAGATGCTCAAGCCCTTTACAGAAAACGGCCTGGTGTTTGTATAACCCACAGGTACCCGCCTATAGGGGTTAGACCACCTCTAGACTTGTTTAAACTAACATCCAATGCAAATGTTACATAAACACCTGTTAGGCCTTACTGCTTAGGTACTGGGGTGGGGAACCTTTTTTCCTGGGGAGTGTTGCCTCGGTACTCACAATATCATATGTAGGAAAAACAAAATGATCAACTTAAAAATAGCCCTGGGATAGATTTACTGAATTTCGATTTCCAACAGCAGTTGTCTTAGCAGGACTAGACTAAGTTGTTTTGCCTGACCAGATAGGCCCACCTCTGGAATAGGGGCAGGAAAAAGTCCATACACGATCAGTTCAGCCTTTTTCTCATAGTTTGGATGCACAGTCAGTGGAGCCCATGGAGGTATACCATCCTGCTCTCCTTTCCTGTACAGTGTGTTTTATAACCGCAGGCTCTTACTTTCTGAACTGTACTTAGTAAAAAAAAAAAAAAAAAAGGGAGAGAATATCACCCTTAAAAGCTGTAACAGATTTGTTTTTCTAATGAAGGGTTAATTCCTCATGACAAAAATCTTCCTAGAACTGAAGAATGACACATCCATGAAATAATTCCACCCAAATAACTTTGCATCTAAAAAATTTCGAAAATATTGTTAACTACTTAAAATGTCTGGGAACCAAATATAAATGCAAGGTGAAATTCCATTTAGCCTATCTCTGTTCTCACGGAACCTCAGATAATATACAAGATAAACTCCCCATAAAATCTGATGTATAAACATTCTCATATTTAAGAAACCCCTCTTCTGGAGCTGGCATGCTGGCATAAGGCTAATCCTCTGCCACAAGCACCAGAATGCCACACAGGTACCAGTTCCTGCCCAGTGGTTCCACTTCCCATCCAGCTCTCTGCTTATAACCTGGGAAAGCAGCAGAGGAAGGCTCTAGTCCCTGGGCCTCTGCACCTAATAAGGTTTCAATCCTGGACCCGGTGCGATAGCCTAGAGGCTAAAATGCTCACCTTGCATGCTCCAGGATATCATATGGGTGCTGGTTCTAATCCTGGCAGCCCCGCTTCTCATTTAGCTCCCTGCCTATGACCTGGGAAAGCAGTCGAGGACAGACCAAAATGTTGAGACCTTGTATCCATGTGCGATACCTGGAAGGGGCTCCAGGCTCCTGGCTTCAAATCGACTCAGCTCCAGCCGCTGCTGCTGCTTAGGGAGTGAATCATTGGATGGAAGATACTTCTCTCTTTCTCTCCTCCTCTCTGTATATCTGACTTTACAATAAAAATAAACCTTTAAAAAACAAAAAAAGGAAGGAAGGTTTCAACCCAGAAGAAGCTCCTGGCTTCTGATCAGCTTAGCTTGTGTCATGGCAGCCATTTGGCGAATGAGCCAGCAGATGGACGATCTCCGTCTCCCCCTCTGTCTGGAAAATGTGACTTTCAAATAAAGACACATTTTTTTTATAAATAAATAAATACATAAATAATATCTCTTCTTACCTGCTTCCTCATGACAATCTGGACACAGACCCAAAGGCCAATGCCCAAGGCAAAGCCCCAGTAAATGTAAAACCTGTTTATCCATAAGGACAGTAACGATATGGAGAAGTCCCAAGCATCCAAAGAAAGATCTAAGATTAAAAAGATACATCCATGTAACTTCACTGAAAGTACTGAAAAAAAAGATGTTCACGCTTTCAAATAAAAAAATTTTTTTCAACTAACAAATGTATAGACAATACCGACCCAACGAAACGGGGCATAGCTGTGGCACAGCACGTTAAGCTACCACCCGCAACATCGATGGCATCCCACAGGGGCCAGGTTGAGAGTCCAGGCTGCCCCACTTCCAATCCAGCTCCCTGCCAATACGCCCGGAAAGTTACAGAGGGTGGTCCAAATGCTTGGGCCCCCACAGCCATGTGGCAGACAGGATGAGGCTGCTCGTTTCTGCTGGCCTTGTCCCTCTGGTGTGCTCATTTGGGGAGTGAACCGGGGGCTGGAAGATTCTCTTTTACCACAGTGATGTTGCTAACTACGAAAAGCAATAAGGGATCATCGTACTTTCACTTGGGCATCACCATTTGGATATCAGAACACACGGTGAAAGCAGCAAGTGGAGTAAGTGAATTTTATTTTGAGATGCTTGCTCCATTACAAAAAAATAAAATAAAATAAAAAGTAGTAAACATACTAATACCCTCTTCTCTAACTGCATGTTTAAAGCACCAAGGCCACCTGTCACTGGTTCTCAAAGGACCTGACGACCTGCTTCTTGAAGGGAGAGAGGCAAGACCCGGCCTCAACTGGAACCTGGGAATCTCATACTCAGGGTTTCCAGGTTCTCGTCCACCCTGGAAACACTGCAGGTCCCCAGCACGTGGGTGAGGGCGACCGTTTTCTCCTACCGACTTGGGGTTGGCGACATGGTTTCTGTGTAAATTCACCCTCACCCTCTGTCCTAGCGTTACCCGGCCCAGCAGGGAAGGTCCCCTGTGGTCCAGCAGATGGCGCCGCTCGGGCCCCACAGGCCGGGTCGGCCAACGTCCTTACCCATGCTCCTCAGATCCAAGCCCGGGGCGCGAGCCTGGAAAGCCTGCTGACCAGCGCGGGCAGCGGGACTCGGTCTCTCAGTGTGAGGACCTCTCTGTAAGGAACGTCCAGAGCCGCCAAGCGGGGGCAGCCATGCCACCCTCAGGCCCCTCCGGATTGGCTCCGAGAGGAAAGCGGAGCGCTCCTGGCAGACCTCTGATTGGCTCATAGACGAGGGGCGGGTCAAGGCTGTATCACCTCCCAGAGCGCTAAGCTGGAGAGCCAGAGACCAACCGGCCTTGCTTGGATTGGCTGACAGTAGAAAGGGGCGGGCTCGCTGGAAGGTCCGCCTGTAGAATTCGGAGTCCCGATCAGGAAGTCCCGCCCACAGTGCTTCCCAGGCCCAATCGGGAAAGAGGGCTCCGAGCCCCGAAATGATTGGCTAGAAGTGCAAGGGGGCGGGCACGGAGGCCTGACCAGATTGGCTCCGAGAGGAAAGGGGCGTGCCTGGCGGGAGGTAGAGTTAAGCAAGGTTGCAGGCTGCAGAGAGAACACGAACAGGAGATGGGATACCGGCACCTTGGCACACGGGAATGCGCACAAGAGCGGTCATGACACACGTTTTTCTGACTTTTATTGGAATAAAACGCTTTCGTAAAGAAGGATAGCGTGGTTGTGGTTCCTGAACGCCGCAGGAACTAAGTAAGCATCCCCCGGGTTGTTTCTACCCCGGTGCTCGCAACATGAAGCGCCAGTCTTTTGGCCTCTACGGCTTCCTAGCTGGGCGTAAATTTACGCCTGAAAAGAGCGCCTCGTTTTCCAGTCGCGCGAAGATGTCGTCACACGTACTCCGCGCAGGCGTGGTTGCTCCCTCTGCTTCACTCGGCGAGCGCGCCGCCTCTGACGCCTGCGCAGTGCCTCCGCCGGGAGTGCGGTGACGCGTGCGAGGTGCGCCAGGCGAAGATCGTTCCAAGGCGACTCGGGCGCCGCCGGGGCGTTACCGCGAGGGGCTGAGGCCGCCGAGGCCGGGCGCAGCGTGTGCGGGCCGCTACCATGTCCATCTTCACCCCCACCAACCAGATCCGCCTGACCAATGTGGCCGTGGTGCGGATGAAGCGCGGCGGCAAGCGCTTCGAGATCGCCTGCTACAAGAACAAGGTGGTCGGCTGGCGCACCGGCGTGTGAGTGGCTCTCGGTCGGGGACCCTGGCAGGACCCGGTAGTGTCACAGGCGTGGGCCCGAGCCGGACCCTGGCAGGACCCGGTCAGTTCGTGGGCCCGAGTCGGACCCTGGCAGGACCCGGTCAGTTCGTGGGCCCGAGCTGGACTCTGGCAGGACCCGGTAGTGTCACAGGCTTGGGCCCGAGCTGGACCCTGGCAGGACCCGGTCAGCCCGAGCGGGAGCTTGGCGGTGGAGGCAGTGCAGGCAATGGAAGAAGTCGTCCTTCCCGGGCTTAGGCTCCTCTTTGGTTTGGAGTGGTTCGGGTGGATGGGTTGGGAGTTTGTTTTTGCTGTCTTTGTAAGAGCTGACAAGCCAGGCACTCCCTGTAACTGTCGTGACTTAGACTGGGAATCTGGTCTCCCAGGTGACGGATCAGAGTTCGGGCACAGGTGGTACAGGCGGTGTCGCTCACACCCCAGGAGCCTGGCGGCGTCCCTCAGTTCCCCTCTGCCGACAGGCATTCCACAGCCGGTGTTCCCTGGACTCCCGGGACACTCCCGTCCCTGGAGCAGCTCCAAGCTGAGAGAGGGAGGCTTGTTCAGGCGGTATTCCCTGTCGGTGCTGTGTGTCTTCGAGTGTTGTTCACGTAGGACTGTCGCTCCCGCCCTCCAGGGAGAAAGACCTCGATGAAGTTCTGCAAACCCACTCGGTGTTTGTGAATGTCTCGAAGGGTCAGGTTGCAAAGAAGGATGACCTCATCAGCGCGTTTGGAACCGACGACCAGACTGAAATCTGCAGACAGGTGCGCTCTGCCGACTGCAGTGCTAACCAGCCCTCACGCTTATGTACACATGTTGGAGTATGCAGTTTGTAGGGGGGGGGAAGAATGGTTCCCATGCGATTATATAGGCTTAAGCAGCATCGCTTTTTTATTGATAACTTTTTAAACTTTTCTTTGTTTGAAAGGCAGAGTTCCAGAGAAAGAGACAGGGCTTCCGTCTTGTGGTTCAGTCCTCAGATAGCTGTGACGGTCCAGGCTTGGCCAGATGCTAGCCAGGTAGCTGGAACTGCATGCAGGCCTTCCCCGGGTGGGTGCAGGTTCCTGAGTCCTTGGATCACCTGCCGCTGCTCTCGCGGTGCGTTAGCATGGAGTTGGATGAGAAGAGGATGGCCAGCACTAAGAGCGACGCGATGCTCTCCTAAGTGTTGCTGGCGTCTAAAGTAACAGCTTAACCCTATCCACGGTGCCGTCCTGCTGGCCCCAGCAGCATCGCTTTAATAGTTAAAGCACCTTGTGGGTTTTTTTTTGTTGTTGTTGTTATTGTTTTTTCCCAAAGCTGCAGAACTTGAATGCTCTCCTAAAATACTCCAAAATAAAATGTCAGATGTGTCTTCTGTTAGACCATATGCTGTGACTGTGTTTTCCACTTCTATTCATCTATTCATCTCTGGTTGAGCTTTCCCCAGCATAATCCAGGGTGTCCTTTAAGCCAAGCCCAGGTCATTCCCTGCACACGAGTAACTCAGGAGGACAAGGGGTAGTTTTCTCCCCTGTGACTTGTTCCTTTCGTTAGCAAATGCTGTGTGAGAGAGTGCTTCCTAAAAGCGTTTGGCTTTCTGTGTGTTTGTTTTAGATTCTGACTAAAGGAGAACTCCAGGTGTCAGACAAGGAGAGGCACACACAGCTGGAGCAGATGTTTAGGGACATTGCAACTATTGTAGCCGACAAATGTGTGAACCCTGAAACAAAGAGACCATACACCGTTATTCTCATAGAGCGAGCCATGAAGGACATCCACTATTCGGTCAAAACCAACAAGAGCACAAAACAGCAGGTGAGGGGCCTGAGCCCAACTCCCAGCTTATCCCTGGGCGGGAGTGTTGTTGAGGAAGCCAGCAAAGTAGTGAGTCTGCCGGGAGCAGGTGGGTGAGAGGTTTGTGGGAAGGAAGCGGGTGTGGGAGGAGATCGGGTTCCTTTTCAACTAAACATAAATAAACACTGGACATCAATCCTTGAAAGACAAAACTCAGGTGTTTTAAGGATTGTTGTAACCCCTCTTTTATGTATATATTATTCACATGCCATGAAGTCCTCCTTGTAAAGTGTACAACACCGTGGTTTATAAACACCATTTTCGAAGCTTCCCTGCTGTCTAAGTTGAGGTTTTTACCAATTCAAGAAAAAAAATCTATATGCATTAGTGGTCATTTCCATCCCCCCGTTTCCACAGCCCTTGGCAGCTGTCTCTGTGACACTGTCATGAAAACGGGATGAAATGATATGTGACTTTTCAAGGTTCATCTGTGTATGGTGAGAATCAGTACAGTTTCTTGTTCTGAAGAACTCTGTGGAACTACCACAGCATGTTTGTTCATTGGTCAGTTGACAGGCATTTTAGCCATTATGAATAATCCTATGAAATTTGTTTACATTTTTGTGTGGTCATGTTTTCACAACTCTGGACCTGGGAATGGAACTGCCGGGTCTCAGGAGACCAAGTATTTAAACTTTGTGAAATAGTTGTACCGTTTTCCATTCCCACCATTTAAAGTGCAAGGGCTCCCATTTCTCCACATCCCCTTTTCATGCTCACCCTTTTCATAAGAACCGTGCTAGTGTGGCTGACCATGGCCTTGCTTTGTGTTTTCCCTAGTAACTAAGGACTTGAGGAAACTTTCCATGTGTTCACTCATGCTTTTCCTGTCTCCTTGGGGGTGTGGGGGTTCCACTCAGATTATTTGCCTTTTAAGTATCAACCCATCTGTTTGTTTTTTTTTTTAATTCTGTGTCTTTGTCCTTTATGAAATATGTTTATAAAGATTTTCTTCCATTCTTCGAGTTGCTTTTCTTGATAGTGTATTTGAAGCACAAAGGTTAACTTTGATTGTTTTTGGTATTGTGGTGGTGGCCGACATTCACCAAGATAACACCTCGGCCTCAGCCAGCCGGGTGGCAACGCCGTTGTTTCTCGGCGCTTCATGGACTAATGCAAGAGCGGCGGACAGGAACCTGCAGACATGATCGCCCGTGTCTTTACTGCAGGCTTTGGAAGTCATCAAGCAGCTGAAGGAGAAAATGAAGATAGAGCGCGCCCACATGAGACTGCGCTTCGTCCTCCCGGTGAACGAAGGCAAGAAGCTGAAGGAGAAGCTCAAGCCGCTCATCAAGGTCGTGGAAAGCGAGGACTACAGTCAGCAGCTGGACATGGTAAGGCTCCTGTTGATCTGCTCTGTGGGACCAGAGCAGCGTGTTTCCTAGTCATAAAGGTGTAAGAAAGGCAAGTTGTAAGCAGTAAGGTGTGAACTATCATCACCTGGGGACAGGATAACATTCACAGTCAGGAACACTGGGGGTTTTTGTTTCCTGGTGTCTGTTCAGTTACGATAAGATCAAGTTGGTCACTGTTCATTTTAGATGACACATTGTTCGTGCATCTTTGGAAAGCTTTGCTGGCGCCCATAAGGGATGCTGGCGCCCAAAAGGGATGCTGGCGCCCATAAGGGATGCTGGCGCCCATAAGGGATGCTGGCGGCAGGCAGAGGCTTAACTAACTATGGCATGGCAAAAGCCCATTCTAGCATACACAGGACCGTAGCCCAGCTCCTCCTTTTAAAGCGAGGAACCCAGAGGAGTCTTCACTGAGGGGCCAGAGCTCGAGCTGCCGCCCTGTCAGCTGGAACGTGTGCTGTGCGGTGGGAGAGAGAGAGACTTCGGTAGGCAGAGCGGAGTTTGCTGTGTTGTGTGGCTCGTCTCCCGGTGCCGACCCCAGCGCTCCGTGTTTCAGGTGTGCCTCATTGACCCGGGCTGCTTCCGAGAAATCGATGAGCTCATTAAGAAGGAAACCAAAGGCAGAGGTTCGTTGGAGGTGCTCAGTCTGAAAGACGTGGAGGAAGGCGACGAGAAATTTGAGTGACATCAGCCTCCTGAACCGTGAGACACCCTGGCGGTGGTTCCAGTAGCACTGTCTTATTTCTGCGATCTGCCAGAACCCCCCTCAACCACGGTGTTGGATGTTGTCCATCTTGGGGTGCACAAAAAAGACTTTCCAGTTCAAGTCTAGGAATCAGAGCGTGATTTCGTTTTAATTTATAAATCGGGGTTCGGGCAGAAATGAAAAGTGCAAAATACAGAGTCCAGAGGAACGTCTTGTTGCTCACTCATTTCTTTTTAACTTTCCAAACGAAAGTGATTTGAGACAATTCTTGTGGATAAAACATGAAATTTTGTATTAAAAAGAGGTTTTTTTTGGGGGGGGATGTGTCTGGAACAGAGAATTTGCTAAATATATATATATATATATATATAATGTCTTGATTTCTGTGTAATGAAATCTGTGTGTATAGGAGTAACTGTATCGTGTCTTAATGTGTAACCTGGGTGGTGGCTCCCTGAGTATATGAAAAGATATATATATATAATGACTACAGAATTTAGATAATTTTCCTCAAACATGCTGCCATAACTCAGATTTATCATTGGTAATAAATAAAGTCATTTATTTCTAATTCTTAAAGTTTATAAGATGTATTAATGCAGTTTAAATTTTATGCAATTAATAAAACCACTCTTATTTTTAGTAAGCTGTAACTGGTGTTTCTGGATGGTTCCTGAACTCCATTCTTTCCTGTTTTCTCCTTTGGTAGGATTGGAATGTTGTTAGGAAAACTAAATAAGTGGTTAGAACAGGCCCTGCCGGGCCCAGCTCGGTAGCCTAGTAGCTAAAATCCACACCTTGCATGCCTCAGGATCCCATATGGGCACTGGTTCTAATTCCGGCAGCACCATTTCCCGTCCAACTCCCTGCCTGTAGCATGGGAAGGCAGTCGAGGATGGCCCAAAGCCTTAGGACCCTGCACCGAGTGGGAGACCTGGAAGAGGTTCTGGGCTCCTGGCTTTGGATCGGCACAGCTCCAGTCATTGCAGTCACTTAGGGAGTGAATCAACAGATAGAAGATCCTCTCTGTCTCTCTCCTCTCTCTATATCTGACTTTGTAATAAAAAAAAAGAACAGTACCTGCTAAATCTTAGGTTTTATTAGAACATATCTGAAGCCCGCAGCACTTCTGCGAGAGCCAGGGCTGAGTCCATTCCTGTGTCCACACCAGCCTCCTGAGAATGCACACCCCGGGAACTGAGATGGCTCAGCTAGTCGGGGCCCTAACAGTTGTGCTGGCCTGTGACGGAGTGACTGGGGACCAGAAGGTCTTTTCTCTGGGGTATAAATTTGGGATGGGTAGTGAGTGACATAAACTTAGTGTAGACCACCAAGTGCTTCACTCATCAGGGCAGGGAAGTGGCTTGCCTCGTTTCCCGGCAACCAGGGCCTGGCACACCTCCTTCTCCTGGGAGACACCCTCAGTGACACGGCATATGCGTACTCACTCTGCCCCTGGCCGCCTGCAGCCCCAGCTGCCTCCCCCATGTCTCCCCCTCGTGGGTGTGCAGCCCTGGGCCCCTGTCAGAGCCCAAGGCCACCAACCGCCTTGTCACCGTTGTCAGCGCCACCTGCACAGGGCACGTGCTGCTAAGGATCTTCCAAGCTGCCTCAGCCCACCTGGGTCTCTGGCAGCAGACCCCGGATTGTGCTGTGTGTGGCCAGCAAGCCCATCGTGAACGCCAAGCACCCTGTGGCCTTGGATGGGTCCAAGTAGGAGGCCCCAGCGGCCAGCAGGTCCCCCTGCTCACCTTTCCACCCCCAGCTGGGGCTCCTGCCCTGCTCTCTGGCCCTCTGGCCTTCTGGTCCTCTGGCCCTGGGCTCAGCACCACACACTGCTGCTTTCCCAGGGACAGCCACCCAGACTGGATCCTGTAGCACCTGGGGTATGGCATCCTGGCCACCAGTGGCTTTGTCAATGGAGCCATAGTGCCAGGCCCTTCACTTTTCATTCTTAAAAAACACAAACAAAGAACAACAACAGCAGAAACATTGGATTGTCCATTCAATATATTTTTGTTTGCAAGGCAGACACAGAAAGACACATACCATCTTGTCTGCACTGGTCCCCGCCTCCAGTGCGTGCACTAGTCGGGGCTGACAGGTGGATCCAGAAGCCCAAAACTCCATCCAAGTTTGCGCCGGGGGTGACAAGGACCCAGATCCCTGCCTAGCTGCCACCGTGGTGTGCACTAGCAGAGAGGTGGCATCAGAAATGTAGCCAGGAGTAGATACCCCAAGCCTACAGAGGCAGGGGTGGGGGCGGGGGTTGAGGGTATGCCAAGCTGCAAGTCAACAGCTGTCCCACAGACCTGCCCCTCCATGGCTGGCCCTGGAGCTGGCCCCAGAGCTGTACCGGGAGGGGGTGTCGGGTACTGTGTCTCAGCTGGCTCCTACTAAAGTGGTTATCAGAGACGGCCCATTTGGGCACCAGTTTGTGCCCTGGGCATGACACATTGTGATCCAGTTGCCTATTAATTGCATGGAAAGACAGTGGATGATGGCCCGAGCCCTTGGGACCCTGAACCCATAGGGGAGACCCAGCAGAGGCTCCTGGCTTCCGATGGTCTTAGCTCCAACCGTTGGGGCCCTCTGCGGAGTGAACCAACACCCAGATGGAAGATCTCTCTCGCTCCATGTTTCTCTCTGCAACTTGGCCTTTCCAGTCAAGAAAAGGCATCTTGTGGAAGAAGACTGCCCCGGTCAGGAGCAGGCCCTGAGGCTGCTGCAGCTTGAGACACCTGCATCCATCCGTTGGCGTTCCTGCCTCATGTTCCCAACTCTGGCTCCTGAGGCCAGCCGCCCTCCCACCAGCAACCCTGCGAGGCTCAAGCAATTGCCTCCATTGTGTTCCTGGCTTCCCGAGGGAGCTAACCCCAGCCCAGCCCCAACCATCATTTTGAGCTCCTTGTGGAATGAACTACTATATTCTCCAGGTCTCCTGAATGATCTCTTCTCCCTCGAGGACCAACCTTCAAGGTCCATCTGGAAAACTCCAATCAATTCCGACCAGGCTGGAAAGACCTGATTCCCCCAACGCCTCAGGACACATCAGTCCCCTGTGAGCCCTGTGAGCCAAGGGGAAGGAACTGCACAAGTGAAGCCCCACCCCTTCTTCGCACAGGGCCTTCCTCATTGGGAAGACCTGAGCAAGAGGCAGGGCCAGCTTTCCACACATTTCACCCTCTGGATTCGCTCAGGCCAAAGATAAAAGAGGTGGAGCCCAGTGCCATGGCCTAAGTGGCTCACTCCTGGCCCTGTACACATGCCAGGACCCTGGGATCCCACAGCTTCTCCAACTCACCAATTCGAGGCCTGGCTCCTGGCTTCAGATTGAGTCAACTCCGTACTCTGGGTTACTGAACCAGCAGACAGAAAATCCTCTCTGAATCTCATTCTCTCTGTCTCTCCTCTGTGAATTTGCTCTTCAAAAACATAAGGAAATTCATTTAAAAAGGATGAGGAGGAGCAGGTGGAGGAGGAGAAGGAGAATAATAGTAATAATAATACTAACAAGGAGAAGTGGAGGAAAAAGAGAAGAACAAGAGGCAGCAGCTTGCAGGGCTAATGGAAGAGCTTGAGGGATTCCATGTGATGTGAAGTGAGGGAAGAAAGCTTTGGACAAAGGTTCCTGCTAATCATTGTGTCTTCCTAGGGCCCATCCAAAACGCTGGCACCTGTAAGTGCCAGAACCCTGTTGGAGGTCACGAACCCCGAGGGCACCTGCTCCATCAGGGACACAGTTTGGTGGCCCCTCGGGTAGAAAAGTGATGGCACTACCCCCGGTCCCTCTCGCCCCATGCCACACCTCCACGCCCCTAAATCTACACACAGACAATGGAAAGTAGCTCATCATGTTAGGGCTGGGAAGTGGCTTGCTCTGTTGCCTGACAACCCCTGGCCTGGCACGCCTCTGTCTTCTGGGAGATGCCCTCGGTGACATTGGTACATGTGCCCACTGCATGCTGGACTTCCCACTGCCCTGCTGCCTCCTCCTGTGGGCCTTGGAGCCCTGGGTGCTGCTCAGAGTCACGGGTAGGGCTGGCCAGGGAACCCGGGGCCTGGGCCTCTTGCTCTGCCCTCCTTGTCATCTTGGGTGTCGCCTGTGCGGGACCCTTTGGGGTAAGGCCCTTCCACTTCACCAGAGTCCGCCTAGGACTCTCCTTTCCCAGGATTCACCTCGTCTGGTGAGCGCAGCTGTCATGGAGGCCAAGCGCCCTATGCCCTTGAGTGGGTCCCAGAGGAGGCTCCAGCAGCCAGCAGGTCCCTCTGCTCCACTTTCGACTACTAGCTTTGCTCCTCTGTGGATCTTAATTATCACTAAGCCAGTAACCCTGGTCTGCTTTTGGCCTGCCCATCTATCGATTTCCAAGGCTAGCATCACCCTCTTACTTTCCCAGGCCTCATTCAGAGAACTGGTTGGGAAGTGGAGCTGCTGTGGCATGATTTGGCTTCCGTTTGGGATCATAGAGCATGTATAGCTAGGAATTAGTCACTGAGCCATGGCCCTGTTTCTCCAAAGATGTATTACACAATAGAGTCAGAAATGGAGGAATCATGATTCCACATTTCAAGGTGTAATATAGGGTAATAGTAGTCAAATGATACTGGTGTAGAAACAGAGATCAGTGGGGATGAATACAGACCTAAGAATATGAGTAAGCAACCTACAACCCTTGGTTTGGAGCAGAACAATTCACAACAACAAAGACATGGAAACAACCAAGATGCCTGCCAACAGATGAATGGATAAAAGCTAGTGTCCCTGCTCTGTGCATACTACACAGCCATAAACAGAATCAAATCCTACCGTTTGCAACAAAATGGTCACAACTGGAGACCATTATGCCTAGTGAAATAAGTTAAAAAGATATGTCCCAAATATTCTCTTTGCTATAAGACGATCTTCATGCAAAGAATATGAACAATTAAACCAAATAAATAGATGTAAGTAACCAGTGCATACCGATATTCTCTTCAGTGAATTGCATGATGGAGACCAGTAGTATATCAGAAAGTAAACATATATTCTACATGTCAATCACGAATAAAAGTAGGAGTCCCCATGAAACATTTAAATATACCTTTACAGTATGATGTCAGATTTACTTCTTTGTCTATCCCCAGCATACCATGACACAATTAAATATACAAAGTTAACTTGTAACTCTTACTAAGGGACTACACTACTGTAATAATTTGGGAGGAGGGGGTGAATGGCAGGAAAAGGGCAAGGTGAGAGGAAGGGAGAAGCCCTCATACCTAAAAAATTGTATCATGGAAAATAAATAATAAGAAATAAAATAAAGAGATACTTTGAAGAAATAAATGACTAGAGAAAATATATATGAACCTAGTGTCAGGACATCTGGGTATTTAAAATAATTTTACTGGGTCTAAAGGGAAGACACAGACCCCAATAGAATATCAATGGAGGACTTCAACACTCCATCTTCATCAGCAGACAGCATCACTGGACAGACAATCCACAAAGAAACAACACACCTGATCCACACAATGGGCAAAGTGGACCTAATGAATACCTACAGAACATCTCTCCCCACAGTTACAGGGCACGCATTCTGGTCATTAATGCATGAAGCTTACTCTAGGATGGACCATATGCTAGGCCATCAAACAAGAATCAGTAAAGAAAAAAAAAAAAGATATCACATCATATATAACTCCTGACCACCATGGAAAGAAGCTGGACCCAGGTTCTTGGTTTCTCCACTTTCTAGTATTTTTTAGTGGGTCAGGGGCAGCTGAGTTGAACACTGACGGCCAAGTTGAGAGAGGATTGCATCCCGCCCCATCTCCA